GCGCTCCGCCCCTCCCCGCCGCCTGCCGCCCGACGCGCCCTGCACTCCCCGGCCCGCCGCCCACCGAGCTTTGTCGCTACCACTTCCGCCGGGAGAAGCGCGCGCGCAGGCGCACTCTGGCTCTCTGCGTGGGTGAGCGGAAGTGCAGTAAGGCTGAGGCTACGGGCCGTAATGGACGTTGTCCGGGGACAGGGAGGTTTTGGGTGAGAGCGCATGGGACCCCGCGGCTCTTGGGATGGTGTCTGCCCTCTTTCTACACACCCGCCGGGTGCAAGGGGCGGGAGCACGCCCATCCCCGTCTCCCTCCGGCCACACATTCCCCTCGAGGCGGCCGTGGGATCGAGACGTAGGGACAGACACAGTCGTTCATGGCCGCGTCCCAGAGTCACCTCGGCACTCTAAACAGAGTCCTGGAAGTCTCTCCTGTCCCGCGGCCGTCACAATCTCCTTGGACGACGCAGTGAGAAGCTGGTGTTCCTTTCGGCGGCCTCCCACGCGTCGTACCCTCCCGTGCAAACACCATCGCTGGCTGCTTCTCTGGTCTTCCGAGGGCCAGTAATCAGGGAGCCAGTTTCCAAAAATTCTGGCCTGGTCAGGAGTGTGCTCCGAGGCCCGTGTGTCGTGAAAGGGCAAGGTTCAGAGTGACAGCTCACGGAAGGACTGGCCTTTTTCATTGAGTGTATGCAACCAGAATAGCTGTACTAGCAACTAGCCCTACCATCGAGCTGAAGAACCGGTATTACATTAACCGCTGGCATTTTCCAAGTCTGCCTTACACTTCACACCTCATACAAAACCCTAGTAAGTGATTTTTAATGAAAAATTGCTAAACTTGATGAGTGCAGGTAGCAACTGAACCAATCTCTCACCTACATCCACTAGAGGGCAGAACTACACCTGTGGCCAGTTCTTGAGCATCCTCGGAAGACACCCCTCACTCCTGACTCTGCTTGGATGCCATCCTTAGAAACACCCTTCACCTTCTATGAGACAAGTCTATATTGGACCTGAGACTACCCAGGTATCCTCCCATTTCTGCCTCCCTAGTGCTGGAATTATAATCACATGCCACCGTGCTCAGCTGGAGATGGAACTCATTACATTTTCACACTTGCAAGACAAGCATATTACAGACTCTCAGAGCTGGACATTTTTCTAAAAGATACAAAGACACGAGCCTTTTTGTAAGTTAACCTATTCCAACTATACAACAGAATTTTCTTATGCAATAAAGGGCATGTGAAGTGTCAAGTATGAGAAAATAGGGTCACTGCAAAGAATGTCATATGAAAGCAGTATCCAGCAGCTACCTGCCAGAATCACTATAAGTCTGCTTGATACCATGTTTTGGTATGTAAAACATGTCTGTATTGTACAATACATGTCTGTATTGTAGCGGAGCTACAATAGAAGTTGAAAGCAAGAAATAAAAAGTTGAAGGGTTCAGATACAAGTTACTTGTGTTTGGTTAGTTTAATTGCACACCAATCCCTATGTACTAGGCAAATATTTTTATCTCCCACAGAGTTCCATAGCCTCATTCACATTTAATGGCATTCAAAATGTAAAACATTTGATGAGTCTGAGAAGACGCCAGGGAAGTTTAAAGTATACTTTTAATCTTTATCTTCAAAGTTTGTGCTGAGTTTGACTTCCCCAGTCTACAGATCTGAACCTATTTGGAATTGCTACTATATGTTACCAGACTTCAGATTGGAGATGAACATGCCAAAGGGCACAGATGAGGATAAGAAAAGAAAAAGTAAAACAAGATGAATGTGAGTGGTCACCCAAGAGTCAACTCAAGACCTCACTATTTCCATATAAAATGAACACACAGTATTCTAAGTTCTGTAAACCTGTAAGATTTGTTGTGAAATGTAACTGCATCCACTCAAAAAGATACCATCCTGTGAACTGGTGAAAAAGCTCACTGGTAGGTCTGAGACTAGCCTGCACCAAGTCCTAGCTCAATCACTAGCCCTCAATAAAGGAAAAGATGAGAGGAAATACCTTTCTATCTCATTTTTAAACGTGCGTAAATCATCTCTGTCTCTAAAACATTTGACTGTAATATATATAAATATAATATTATAATTTATATATTGCTACAGTATAAAAATATAATCATATTACAAAAATTATATTTATATTGAAATATATACATATATATGAGAAGATTTGTTGAATAAATGTTAACCTGAAAGATTGTTATTGTAAGTATTTATTGAGGAATAAATAAAGGTCATCCCTCCTTGGACTTTGCTACTGAGCTTTTCTGTAGAGCAACAGATGGGGTGGGGGAAGAATTTAAGGTGTTTTCAAAATGTAACAATATAACATTCTTCTCCAGTTAAGTAGGACTACTTGATCCAAGAAGGAGTAAATCCTGATCAGTATCAAGTCCCGGACCAAAACAGGAAATTATACGAGCTTTTGAATCCAAGTAACCACCTGAAATTAGAAGCTATCAATGCTGAGGTGGACGCTTCCTGGCACATTGGAAATTTCCACTTCACCTGTGCTTTGGATTTTAATGGCATGCCTGACAAACTCCAGTACAAGTTTCAGCCATTAGTTTAGGGGTCAAGGAATATACTCTTCATCCCGAAACAATCCAGGGATGAAGCAACAGGCTGCCAGACATAGTGACGCACGCCTTTAATCCCAGCACTCGGGAGGCTAGATCAGGCGGATCTCTGTGAGTTCGAGGACAGACTGATCTACACAGCTGAGTTCCAGGACAGCTATGGCTGTTACGTTGAGAAACCCTGTCTGGAAGAAACAAAAGGGAAAAAAAAAAAAAAAAAAACCAAGTCAGGAGCCTTAGAGGAGCCAAAGAAGTTTAAAAACCACTGGTGAGTATCTCCTACTCAAAGCTTTGCTGTTGGATATTTGTGCACTGCGTAGAGAGGTATTACTGTGATTGATGTAATAAAAGGATGAACAGCCAATAGCTAGGCAGGAGGTATAGGCAGCATTTCCAGGGAGAAAAGAAAAGGAGAAGGAATCTAGGCACGCAGGAGACGCCAGGAGACGTGGAGAAGAAACAGGAGGTGTAAGCTGGAGGAGAGGTAACACCACGTGACAGAATGTAGATAATGTAAATGGATTCATTTAAGTTATAAGACCTAGTTAGGAACAAGTCTAAGCTATAGGCTGAGCTTCCAAAATTAATAAGAAGTCTCCATGTCTATATTTGTGAGCTGACAGCCTAAAGAAATATCATATAGGGAACATTTCAGGCTCTTTATCCTGCTAAGTTCTGGTCTGAGAGCTTTGTGAAAGGTGTTTCTTCATATCTTCAAAATGGCACATTTTCTATTTTGACATTTTCTACTCCAATTAGAAGTCAGTATATGATTTTTTTCTTTCCTGTGTCTGAACTTGCCCTGTGTCCTTCCTTTCCCCTACAGAAATCATTTCTCTCTACTGTGTTTCCCATTGTGAAAATAAATGAGAAAAGGGGCCATTATGATAATAAAATTGAAGGGGAGATACTCAAGACAGAAAGTAGCCCGAGGCTCATGAGAATTCTGAAGTTTAGACCAAATCAGTCATGCAAGCAGAGTTACAGCCAGTAAACAAGCTACACAAAATATGGACCCCTTATCAGAGAGATGGTCAACCAGAGAGTTGATTTAGAAGGAGCAGTTATAATTTGTCAAAAAGGCTTGGGAGAAAGAAGGGAGAAACACAAATCCAAAATTGGCAGGGAAGCATTTGTGCAACACAAGCAAATTGTCAAGACCTTTAGACTAGAAAGTTCTTTGCTACAATTATATGGAAAACCAGAAGCGTTTACAATCAACCTTCAGGTAACTTTATTTTTGGTTTGTGGTTCTAAGAGTCAAGGCCTGAACATACCCATGTCATGGGACTTCATTCAGTCAACAGCTTTTGGGGTACCAGCCCTAGGGCATCATCTGAGGTGCTACTTGTGAACTCATAAGTGGGAAGAAGCAGCATGCTCACTCTCTTGTTCTGGCTCTTAGTGTGAGGGGAGACCCAGGATGACAGAGAGACAGCAGTGTGGGATCACTGGCGGCTTCAGCCTTTTCTCTGTATTTGCGAGTCTGTCCCTTTTCATTGCAACTCCTTAATAAATCGACTTCATTTACTTCAGTGTGTTTATGCTACAATATCCTATATTAGAAGACATTAAAATATAATTTAATGTTACTATTGGGATTAAATGGGGAATTGCAGGTGGGAGGGTGGTAGAGATATTTCTACAACCTGGGAACAAGCTGAAGTACAAATCTGGACCTATTTCAAACATCCAGACCCAAAACTTTTCCAAGAAACTGGTACAACTACCACTGGGATTACTGGTGTCATAAACGAAAGTGTTGCTATCTAAGAGAGTTTCACAAACTAGAAATGGCACCGTGCCCTTTGGAGGGTAGAGAGCAAAGAGATCTCAAGTGGTAAAGTATGTACTGCATGAACATTCTGAGTGACCCTCAAATACCCGCACCCTTCCAGGTCTCTCAGTGTGACCCTGCTACGGGCAGCATCAGCACTATCTGTGATCTCCACAGAAATGCACACTCTCAGATCTTCCTGGAACCAACCCTTACAGATGTCTCAGGGTAAACTGAACAAGACTTCTGAATGATGCAAATGTTTGACAGTGCCTCAACCATCTTAGCATCACTCTTTCTACACATCTCCAGTAGCAAGGGTAACAGCGAGGGTGCAAAGCAGTGACGAGAAGAAACTAACTCTCTTAACATGTGGCTAAGCCAACAACCAACCTGGGCCTCCTGTAGTATGGAATAAAACATTACATTTTCTGCTGCTTGTAACTATATTGGTAGATAAAATGATTAAAAAAACAGTTTAGATTAAAAAATGTTAAATTTTAGTCAGTTATTGATGCAGGAGAATTCTCTGTATTCTGTCAATCATATTTTAATAAAACGCTGATTGGCCAGGCAGGCAGTATAGGCGGGAAAACCAGACAGGAAGTAGAGGTGATGCAATGAGAACAGGAGATTTCTGGGAAGCAGGGGGGTTCCTCTGCCATTCCTGTGCAGACCACCGAAGAGGCAGCATGTAACTTGCCCAGCTGAGAAAGGTACGGAGCCATGTGGCTAATGGGGTAACATAAGTTATAAGAGCTAATAAGTAACCTGACCTAATGGGCCAATCAGTTTATAAGCTAATGTAGACTTTGTGTGGTTTTCCTTTTGGGGCATGCCGGCTATGGGGTACCGGACCGGACAGAAACCCCAACAAGCCAGCCCCTCATGTTACAGGTTATTCCTGTGAAAATTTAAGCAGTCTAATGCAGCATGGCATGTGACATAAACAAATGACAAAGTGTCATGCTTGAGGCGCTGTTGATGGGAGGCCACACAATAAGATGGGAGTAAGACTGAACCAAGGGGGATGTTGTTTTCGGGCCAGTATTAGCAAGTAAAGTAAAAACTTGGCTCTTGACTTCAGTGTTTCCATAGACAAATTTTTCTTAACTCTAATTAGGCTTGTCTTAAAATCATACAACTGTACCTCATACTTTGAAAAAGTGACATTTAGGCATTTTGTTTCTTATGCGGCATCTTCTTCTTTCCTCCTCCTCCTCCTTCTTTCTCCTCCTCCTTTTTTTGTCTTCCTCTTTCTCCTCCTCCTCCTTGTAGGCTGAGGCTCAGACTTAGGGCCTCATACGTGCTAAGCAAGCATTTCAGCACTACACTCAAACCCTAGCCCAGGCTGTTGGTTTTTCTCTTCTTTCTTTTCTTAACTAGTAACTATAATGGCAGCTTCTATGACAGACCTGAAAAACAAAGTTGAGTATGTGCCTTCAAGTTGACTAGCATGATCTTTCTTCAAACAAACTTAAAGATAGTTAATTGGGTAGGAGTCGTACATCAACTAGTTTCTATTATCTTCTTTAAAGCAGGTGAAAACCTACAGCACTTGGGTTTTGTTTTATTTTTTCTTTTTCTTTCTTTCTTTTTTTTTTAGAAAGCCTACATGTGCCAGACAGTGGTGGTGCATGCTTTTAATCCCAGCACTTGGAAGGCAGAGGCAGGCGGATGGATCTCTGTGAGTTTGAGACCAGCCTGATCTACAGAGCTAGTTAGAGGACAGCCAGGGCTACACAAAGAAACACTGTCTCACGTGAAAGAAGGAAGAAAGAAGGAAGGAAGGGAGGGAAGGAAGGAAGGTAGGCTACATAAATTTATTGTTCCATAATGTATAAGATCACACTAGGTTTTGTTTGTTTCTTTAGCAGAAGGGAGTACTTTGGATTGAACCTAAGGCCTCATAACGCAAAGCAGATACTTTACCACTGAGCTATACCACCAAACTGACTCATTTACACCATGGAAAAATACAGATGTGCTGGGGAGGTAAAGATGCCAGCTTTGCTTATTTTGATTAAAGCATTTAAAATTTTAGGAAAATAAAAATTAATTTTCACTGAACAACCCAACTTGTTTATTGCTTTTCAGTAGAGACGAAACAATTCTCTGAGGTAATTAGACTCAGTCATCTCAACCCTGTGAGGCGAACAGTTCCATTGCTGCTTCGAGCTGATTCAAGCCAGGACCCACACAGGTGAAGCTCCTTGCACAAGGCTTTCTTCCCGTCCGTCTCTGGACAGTCGAATGTCCATCTCTGATTGCCTGTGCATGCCCACAGTGCACTGCCAGGGAGAATACGGGACATTACCCAGCTTATTGAATTTCCCCTCAGCTCACGATCCTGTTTCACTCAAGTCTTGTCTTATTCATTTCATTATGGATTCATACAACCTTGAGAGGGACTAATTCCAGAATCTAGGCCATTTGTCCTGCAGCTCCCTTGATGACAGTGAAGACTATATTATTTAATTATATAGTCATTGTCTTTCTTGGCTGCTCTCAGTTATTGTCTCCAATCTACTTGTTTGTTTTTATTTAACCTTCAAATACCATTACTGGAGAATTCATGCTCCAAGCAGAAGCTCTTCAAATACCCCTTGAGTTTATCTCCTCAGAGTTGCTACAGTGAGAACGTACTCTTAGGAATAAATAAGCAGTGATAACTATTTTAAAGAGATTGATTATTCAATGGGTAATTAAGACATGTTCATTAACATGCTCTATTGAAAAAATCAGCAAAATACATATTAAACATATGTCTAGGATCTGAAAGCTACTCCGCAGTATCACGAATACCAATTTCATCTTTCCAGCTAAATTGTTGTTCTGAGTCTTTCACATCCTATTTGCATACGAAGCAGAGGGAAGTAGGGGCAAGGGAAATTTATTTTTTTAATATTAAAACTTCATGGTGACTTAAGTTTGGATCCCATAGAGGCCAGAACAACTATTATATCCCCTTGATGTCCCATAATTTAAATCCGCAATGAAAAGTCTCAGTTGCCCAATCAGTTTAATCAGTAAACATCTATAAAAGAAAGAAGTAAATGGTTATGAATATGTATGTTAGAGGCTTAGAGCTAAGAAACTGCCTAATCATTTCTTGCATTAGTAAGTATTATGTAATGCTAGTCATGGGACTGCTGTAGTTGAAAATGGTCAATTAAGACCTTGCCAAGCCGTAGGTCCTCATTACTGCTCCCCTGGCTTTAGCAATGGCACGCCATCTTCCTAAGTGGCACCAGGGCTGCTCTGCGAAGGCATGGCAGCCCCTATCAGCTCTGAGAACTGTGCGTCATCAAATGACCTCCATCAGTAGTTCCCAAAGCAGGGTCCCTGCCACCTGGGAACTCGTTAGGAAGGCAGATTCTTGAGCTTCATCCAGCCCTACTGAATTAGTAACTCTGGAGGTGAAGCCCAGTAGTCAGTGTTTTAATTAGTCCCTCGGGTGATCCCAGTGCATGCCTGGGTCTGAGCACTGATTCTCAGGAAGCATGAAGCAGTCATCTAAAGAATGTTTTGATCGTGATAAATAGGCTTTAACTCTAAAGAACAGTGAGGGTGCATACCAGCATTTAAAACTCATCATGAAATCATGGAAGGCACGAAACTCTTACAAATAGATGTGTATTGGCTTAAAACCTGGTGTCTTAAAACGTGAGGGATCGTATTTCTCCCATGTAGGCACCTCTGCACATCATGCCAGCCACACTTTGGGCACTGAAGACAAACGACAGAGAGCAGCGCTGCGGTAAGGGCTGGAGTTGGAATGGCGGTGTACAGCAGCCTTTGTTTCCTGATTCTAGGCAGGCCCTTTGGAACAATGCCTCTTTGACCGGAGGTTATCAGGCTTTTTTGCAAGAGCAGTAAGATGAAAGGAAGAGATTTTTTTTCTACAAAGTAAATAGAAAATTCAATTCTCTTAAAACTGGATCCTCCCTAGGGAAATAGTTCCATTTAATATATATATATGTATATATATACATATATATATTATATAATAAAAATAAAAGGTTTTAGTCATATAACAAGAGGATACAAAGATTTTTAGGAGATTTTATGTAAATTTTGTATTGGAGACAGAGGAAAAGGGAAGATTTAACCCTAGTAAAAGAGCATATGTACATATATACATACATAAGCATAATATACAGATAGCATTTACACTATTCAGCGTCTTTTGGAAATTTTTATTTTATGTGTATTCAGTTTTCATCTACATATGTGTCTATGCACCCCTTGTTTTTCTGGTACCCTTGGAAGCCAGAAGAGAGCTTTGGATCCCCTGGAACTAGAATTGCAGATGACCATGAGTCACCATAACAATGCTAGAAACTGAACCCAGGTCCTCTGGAAGTAGTAAGTGCTCTTAACCATTAATAAGCCTCTCCAGCTACCTGTACAATCATTTCAAAAAATTTTCATGGGCTGGAGAGATGGCTCCAGTTAAGAGAGCATGCCACTCTTCCAGAGAGCCTGAGTTCAATTCCTAGCACCTATGTATCATTGGCTTGCAACCACCTGTAACTTTATCTTAAGAGGAATCTGATATGTGATTTTAAAAAGAGTAATATACTGCTTTACAGAGGACTCAAGGTCAGTTTCCAACACCCACATCAGGTGACTCAAAGCCACCTGTAACCCCAGTGCTAGGGAATGCGTCATCCGGCGTTGGTTGGCATGGATACTCAGCTGGCATGTACATGCCTACACTCATACACACACGGAAAGAGAGAGAGAGAGAATTTAAAATTGTAAACTTGTATATTTGGTATATAAAGCTAACGCGTTTTTATAATTTGCTTTGTTTTCTGAGCTGTTTTTATTTATAAGCCATGGCCTAGTTGAGCGATAAGGATTGTCATCTCAAATAATGATACAGACACAATTAGAAGTGCGGCTTACATTTTAAAACAGTTGTCTGTGGATACAATGAAGGTTAAAAAAAAATTCAAGAGTTTCTACTAAGAAGAGAACCCGAGGAAAAGCTGGGCCTCGGAAGACATGAGCAATCAACACAGCAAGGAAAACAAACATAAAGGTGACTTTTTACAGGATATCAGGCCAGTTACAGTAACTATGTTATAATTGCAAATAACAGATGGGTTTGCAAAAGCTTGATTACTCCTTAATGAATTTTTAAAGACTTCCTTTAGTGCAGTCACAATTTTTCTGCTATGTGGTCTTTAACAGAATAACACGCTCTTACCCTCTACGTGGTAATGCACCTCCTTGAAAAAATAGTAAACGGTGTGTTTAATATTAATTAAGCTAACATAGGAGTTTGAGACCTATTTGTATTTGCAAACAATCCCTTTGCAAATAAAAATCCTTGTCAGAAACCAATGGGACAGAGAGACGAGAACCTTTGAGACTTGCCAGCGCTAGAGCAGCTCCAGTTTACATCACTCTGTTTACAAAATACACTGGGGGAAAATGGCCTCCACTTCACTCTGTGAGGTTGGGCACTACAGTTGCTGAGGATAACCCTGTAGAGAATCCTTTTGCTGCATCTTACGACATCCACTCATGTGTATTACAGTATAAGATCCTCTTTAAATTGTGTATCCCCATCCAGGGCATGTTTTCTTGGAAGCCAACAGAAGCTAACTTCAGGGAACCTCACTCGCAGAAGTCCTTTTCGGAGATCAGCTCCAGCATGTTCTCACGGTCTTGTGTTTTGGTAACATTTGCAGATTATTTGAATGGCAGTTGACTTTGGAGTGCTTGCTTTGCTGATGCTTCTCCACCCAATGCCATGTAAGTGATCACAGGTATATTCTCGTCCTGACTCGAAGGAGCGTGAGTTGGGGAAAGCGTTTAGATTGTGCTTGGGTTTAGTGGCATATATAAATGTGATTTGTCATCAGTATGTATGGTTAAGTTATTGCTAACCGCCCTGGTGGAGAAATGACAACCGGGACTATTCTGACTACCTGAACTAAGTCATGGAACTGGAAAAGGGGCTGTAAATGTGTTTTATATTATGCAGAACCTGAAGGACATAGATAGTGCAGGAGAAAACAGAGCCAGAAGCTCATATGAGGTCCTTTTTGGACTTAATTTAAAAACAAATATAAATTAACCATGTCCAGGGAGTGTCTGTATAGTGGCATTTCATTTGTATTTTAATAAATAAAACTTGCCTGAAGATCAGAAAAATAAAACAGCCACACTGGCCAGCCTTACAGACCAGGCAATGACACATACCTTTAATCCCAGTAGCCACCCTAACTTGCCATAGAAACAGGCAGTAGTGGCGCACACCCTTAATCCCAGAACTAGAGCAGATTATAAAACCAGAGGAAACAACTCTCAGTCAGGCTCATTCTGAGATTCCTGGAGGCAGGATCACCATTTTCAGACTGAGGTAAGAGCCAGTGGCTGGCTGCTTTGCATTTCTGGTCTTCAGGTTGAACCGCAATATCTGTCTCTGAGCTTTTATTAATTGTGTTCCATGTCTGCATTCCTAGTCTCTATTTAAAGAATATTAGGAAATTTCTGTCATGTGAGGGATTGGTTAAACATCTCAGACCCCCAAAAGATAGGAGAAAATCATTTTAGGATATCTCAGCTACTTAGTAAAAAATGTTTGTATCCTCCACATTTTCTGATCTTTGTGGTATTTGTCACTCAACTTTTTAATTGTTGTGACTTAGTTTATTCTAAATAAATATTGACTTTGTATCATCTTTGATATTTATAGCTTCTGATGTTTATGTTTCAATTCACTGGGTTAATGATGGCTGTCTGGACAGCAGCTGGTAAGACATTATTTCTGTTATATATTTGAGGATGATTCAAGAATAGATTAGCATGTGAATCAGTAGGCTGAATATGTGTAGTAACATGGTTGGTCATCATTAACCCACAAAGGGTCAAACAGAACTCAAAAGCATAGACATGGCATGTTTGCTCCCCCTGTGATGGAACCCCCCATCAGTGTTCCTGGCTCTCAGGACTTCTTCCTGGAACCAAATTAAGCCACCAGTTCTCCTGGCCCTTCAACCCGCAAAGGAAAGACCATGGGAATTCTAAGCATCTATAATCATATAGGATATATATCATAAGTACCCATAGTAAATATAAGTATTTTGATAGAAAAATAAATGAGAGATAGATAAATGATTGATTATCTCATATGCAGTATATTTCCCTAGTTAACACTAATACAGATCTCATACATTTTCCTAAGAAAGCATCCAAAAATTGAATTCCCTGCAAATATCTCTAAAACCTGAGTCACTGCTCATATTCCTGATACAAAACAAAACAAAACCAAAAAAAAACCCACATCTTCCTAACACAACAGTTTCCACAGCTTGATTTCTAACCATTGTCATTTTTAAATTTTTATTTATTTTATGTGTATGGTGTTTTACCAGCATATATGTCTGTATACCATATGTAAGTTACATGAGAGTGCCCGGAATTGTACCTGTGTGATGGGAAAACTCTGTCAACCAATCACATCTAGTTAATGCGTGGGCGTGGCTACCTGGGGCCCAGACAGAAAAATTAGGAGGACCCAGATGCGCGCTCTCTCTGGGCACATAGAAAGTCAGACCACTCACTCTTGTAGCGTGAGTTTTCCCCCTTATAACCATTAAAATATAATTGTTATTCTTGAGCTGGCTGGTTATTTAACGGACCGACCTAATTCACAACACCTGTGTCCTCTGGAAGAGCAATTAGCACCCAAGCCACTAAGCCACATCTCCAGTTCTGCTGTCTTTTAAAAGTTTAAGAAAATCTAAATGCAAGGGAAAGAATGAAAGGAAGGAGGGAAAGGGACCAGGCAGTCGCTGTGGCAGGTGGTGGATGGGATGGTGGCTGGGGAGGATCTGTCTCACATGGAGAGGCTGTGTCAACAAATCTGGGATCAAAATCTTACTGTCACTATTTGTGATCTATGTACCCAGTCATTTCACATCTTTATCCACAGATGAAGGTGACACTACCCGCTTTGCAATGCTATAAGGACTAACTTGTGGCATATCTAAAGGGTCTGGCTAAGTGTTTAACACAGGTAAGTCACTGGATTAAAATCCTAAGATTTCTCATTCTAAAATGTACAATCTCATTACTTTTCCCAAATCATACTTCCATTGGGATATGCAAGCAAAAAAATAATAATTTCAGCATTTTCCCAGCAAATTTTGAGCAGTATGACATATGTAGGAAGTTCATTTCTTTTTTGTCAAGACACGGAACTGTCTGTACAAGGTGTGAGAGTATGTCCTCTTCTGTTCTGAACAGAAGTTAGCAAAATGTTTGCACGATCTGTTGAAGGAGTGAAATTGGGTAGCAACCCTCTATATTTGGGATCCTGAGTTCTCCCAGTGAACCATGTATCAAAGAGTCCCACCCCTGGTGTTATTGAAAGATGGTGGAACCATTAGGAGGGTTTAGTGAAGGAAAGGCCTCTGAGGTCATGGCCTCAAAGGGGATATTTTAGGTCACAACCCCTCTTACTTTCTGACTCCCAGACAAATTAAGTAAACAGTTTTCTTTGTCTACTGCTCCCAGCATGGTGTGCCACCTTGCCATCCATCGGCCCCTACAGTGAATGAACTATAGACTGAAATCTTCCTGGATATTTTATCATAGACAGTCTGATGAACACACACTTTAGGGGGCTTCACAAACACCCAGCGTTTTGCAGTTGAGTTCCTATACTTCAGAGACATAGTGCCAGTTCAGACAGTCACCTGCTCTGTGTTTCAAAGGCAGCTGAGTGCAGTGAGTGGGAAAAATTCCCAAGCACATGACAGGATTGCTAACAGCTCAGAATTCAGCCCATAGTCCGGGTGTCCTTAAGTAGATCTGCACAGCCATGGCAATCGGAACAATAAGGACAGAACAACTTTACAAATTCCCACTGAAAAACAGAAAATTGGCCGTGTTAAATTCAGGGGAAAATGGAAACGAATAAGAGACTTTACATCGGGGGATGCTAATGGTTAAAACATCACAAAAAAAGAGCCCGAAATTCCTCAATGTCTCTATCCATCCATGACTATGCATTCACAGAGTTATATCTCCCTAGACTGGAAGGCGCTATAACAGCCACACAGCTATGCAGAGAAGTATTCAGTGGTCCATTAGGTTCATGAAAGCTAGTCCTGGTACATGAGCTTTTTACCTGAGGTCTTTACTAGACATAGTTATATTTCATCTCTTGCTGGAGGATTTGCGTTCCACCCAAACCTCCAAAGCCATTAGATTCTGTCTTTCTTGCTCTTAGACTTTGGAGCATAGTCCATTCTATAGACCTTTTAACAACTAGATAAATAAAAAATATTATCCATCTGTGCTTTTCATCTTTCCACTGCCCACAGATCTAGAATCTTAGGCCTAGAATGGGCCAAATAAATCATCCAAGGGTTCTCTTTGATGATCAGAAGCCGTTGTTACAGTGATCGTCGAAGAGGGACATGTAACCGTGTGTTCTGTGAAAGGCAATTCATTCCATCCTTTCTCGTCTGGCTTTACTGTTACAACACAGCCCTTCTCTGCAATTCTACCCACGAGTCATGCTTAATTTTCTCTGTAACCTCTGAAATACACCCATGCTTTCTAAACAAATTAGCCCCGTGAATCTTATGAAGCACATACACAAGCACAATTGAAAGCAATCACACCCTGCCTCTTCTTCATAAACCTTAACAGCCAGAATTCTTTTAAGCACTTCTGTCTCAGGCTCAAATTCATGACATTCATTTTATCCTATTCATTCATTTCCATCAACCTGTATTCAGTGTCCCACATCTGACAGGCATGTTGCTAATTGTCTAGGACCTATTGATATTAAATAGCGCCACGGATGGATGGAATTGTTCAGGACAGGGACAGCAAAGGAGAATTAATTACAAGGTTTCTTTGGAGCATTTATTAGACACAGGACTGCGGTAGGAAACCTGCCTGAGGGCTGGGGATACAGCTCAGGGTAAGAGCACTTGCTCGCCGGGAAAGCCGCCCATCCTGGGGGAGTTAATAGGTAATGGAGAGTTGAAGGGAGAGTAGATATTAACACAAGTGGAGGGACAACCCTGGTCAGGCAGTGACAGGGAAATGGGGTCAGTAGACAGGCAGTGAGAAAGGACATCAGTGCTGAACCAAATTAAGCCCTTTGTGACAGGGTGTCAGGGAATTTCTGCCTTATCCCCAAAGCAGGTGGAAGTCATTGAAATATCACAAGCAGGGGCCTGGGAGGTCTGCCTCTGAAAGACAGTCTGTCTCCTGTGGAACTCAGGAGGCTATTCCGTGTCTCAGACAAGAAGTAACGATAGCCTGTGGACCAAGGGTCTGGGAAAGAGAAGACTGGCATCCAGGTATGAGATTGAAAGAATATAGTGACAACATAGACACCGACTGAGGAAACACAGGCACCTACCTGAATAACAGGATGGATGCCACTGCCCTAGGATAGGTGTGTAAGGAAGGCAGGTCACGAAGCTGGGTGATGGTGACTCAGAAGCTATTCATCTTTCTGCACCCTCTCAGTTATAGGCTCTCAGGATGTTGGTAATTACAACATCCTAAAATACAGCATTTTCTTTCCTAAAATACAGCATTTCCCCCTCCCCTCATTAAAGGAATTTTGTAATGACCACAATAAAATGGTTGCACTCTTAATGTCATATTTAATAGTCAGAAATATTAAGGTGGAGCTTCATGTTATCACAGCAATTGATTTCAATGCTACCTACGTAGAGTTACACAAATTCCCACACAAGAGTGCTATGAAATCTCTGCCTTCTGTTTGAAATTCCACACAGATAATCTTTCAGTCCTACACCCAAACCATTGAATCTTTCTCTTCTCAAACCAACTACAAGGACACCAGCCACTTTCCAGTTCTCTCAAGTGTTACTTAACTACCAACAGCATTGCAGTACTCCATAAATGTGCACACGCATGCGCGCACACACACACACCTGCATGCACACACACGTCTGCATACAAACACAATCACACGCATACTAGACACAGCCCAGAGCTTTGGGGTACTAAGTGGATATTCTGTCACTGTGCCCCCAGACCACACGACTTCCTTTTTATATTCTTAGTGCATGCGTGTGTGTGTGTGTGTGTGTGTACATACAGAAGAAGCCTCAGTTCTTTTCATCTATCATGTGAGTCTCCGAGATCCAACTCAAGTCACCAGTTGGACCATCTCATTAACTTGACTTAAAACAAATGAACAAAGCCCCACAACTTTTAAAAACTTTGCTGCAATCCCTAGCTAGCCATTTCCCCTAAGGAGCTCTTTACATTCCTTAGAACATGCTATAGTAAAGTGTGTGTCATTTCACCTAGGGAGGCTGAGCCTGTATCAGCAATCCTCTAAAACTTTTTGAGAATAGTGAGCCTCAATATAGATTTATTTGAGAAGGGGGATTAGAGTGGCCTCAAGATTTAGAGTGTTATGCAGGGCAGGGATAAGAGCCAAATTTTTGAAAGTTCAAATTCAGCTCCTGTTGGAAGTTGTTTGCTCGGCACTTCCTGTTTATTCAGGTAATATTACATCCCTCTGGAGTCGTTGATGGACTTGAAGACCAGGTAGTTAGAGCTGAAGTTTTCCTCCGTTATGTTAGAAGGCAAATTAGGTACAGAGCTTTGGACTCACCAGGATAGAAGAAATAATGGAGTATTTTCTTCAAATAAGCCAAATACAAATGGACTGGACATTGTAAAAGTAATTCTTACCTGATAATTATTCTTAGTATTTATAGTTTTATGTTAGGGTTAAAACCGTTCCTTTTTGTTTAGACAAAAGGGGGGAAATGTTGCAGAATAACCTTTTTGTATATTGTGAATATATGTTACTCTGATTGGTTTAATAAAACGCTGAATGACCAATAGCTAGGCAGGATTTGGGGGGCAGAGAGAATGCTGGGAAGAAGAAGGCAGAGACAAGAGGAGATGCAAAACAAGCAGCATGGACATTACAAAGTAAAGGTAATAAAGCCACGAGGCAGAAAGTAAATGAATAGGAATGGGTTAAGTTATAAGAACTAGTTAGAAACAAGCCTAAGCTACCAGTCAAACTTTGATAATTAATAAGTCTTCGTGTTGTGATTTATCCATTAAATAGTCAATCTGTGTTTTCTGCTCCCTCCTATTTTCCCTTTGCCAGAGATCTGTAGAAGGAGAGATTTAGGTTGGTGAAACTGCTGGAGGGAAGCACAGCTGAAGGCCACATTCTCAAAAGTAAGCTTTTCTCCGCCTCAGCCTTATGTCAATGTCATTTCCATCTTTTGCCCTGAGTGACAGCATCCTACCTCTGTGAAGTTCCTGGCCCCACAATTTCTCCAACAGTGATGAAGTTCATTCAACTGCATAAATGTGTCTCATTTGTGCCAATATGTGCTTAGTACTGGTGCAGAAACAACGAATGTGCAGAATCATGTTCCTTCATTGAGGTGAAGCAAGATTTCATTTGGAGATGAAAACTCTGAATGCCAGAAAGAATGCGGATTACAGCAGTAAGAGCAGGTATGGGGCACAAACTATAAGGCTATGTACTTGTCACCTTGGGAACCTTCTGATGGGTGGCCCACCTATACAGAGACCTGAGGGAAAGCAGTGTTACCTGCCTGCCTCTGCTTCTTGCTGCTATGTTCATGTGTTCCTGCTGTTGCCATCAAACTCCAGATTTTTCAGTCTTCCAACATGGACTGAAGAGGAATGACTCTTCGTGGATTTTCTAGGACTTCAGCATCAGCATGAGACTGTTAGAGGATTCAGCTTTATAGACTGAACAGCTACGAGGTTCTCTGCTGCTAGTATGAAGATGGCCATTGTTGCATTATCCAGTGCGGTGGTTTGAATGTAATTGACCCCATAAGCTCATAGGAAATGACGCTATTAGGAGATGTGGCTTTGTTGAAGTAGGTATGGCCTTGTTGGAGGAAGTGTGGGTAGGCTTCAAGGTCTCAAAAATGCTCACACAACATCCAGTGCTTCAGTTCACTTCCTGTTGCCTTCTGATCAAGATGTAGCCAGCAATCCATGTCTTCCTGCATGCTACTGTGCTTCCTGCCATGATGATAATGGACTGAAACTCTGTACTGTAAGTGAGCCTCCTCAATAAAATGTTTTCTTTGTAAGAGTTGCTGAGGTCATGGTGTCTCTTCATGGCAATAGAAACCCTAACTAAGACCCTCAGCATCTTCCTTGTAAATGTGTGTGTGCGTGCATGTGTGCACGTGTGTGTGTGTGTGTGTGTATTTTCAATTCTTTTCCTTTAAAGGATACAGTCTTTTGAAATGGTTGAGAATAGCGAGGAGAAGAAAAGGAGAAACCAAGAAAAAGCTAAGTTTTCATGCTCTGAGCTTTCAGGATGATTGATGGAAAAAGTGGAAGGGGAATCAGTTTAGGGGGGCATAGTTTGTGAGTTCTCTCTGCATTCATTCAAGTTGCCATGTTTGCAGGACATTCAGATGGACACATTGAATAGGTGACTGGCTTATACAAGGTCGCAGGGCACTTGCAGCCTACGTTTGAGAGTTATTGGGTTGAAGCTAGTGGTTGAAAGCTATGGGAATGGCAGGCCTCATCAAGCAAAAAAGAACAGGCTGTCCAGATGCGCTCACAAACTAGCTCTTTATATTCTTACACAATATCTACACCAAGTCTGCCACCCTTAAGAGTAAGCAGTGCAGAGTTCCAGATACCCATAGGCCACCCTTCATAGGCAGACACCAAGGAACAGCATACCAAGATGTAGAAGACATTTCCCCCTTCCCCCTACAATGTCGGCTTGGTCACCGAGTCCCAGAGCAACTCGTCTCTGGTATTCAGAAGAACATGGCCTACGAGTTGCATCCATTCCCCTCTAACTGAACTCTGACATCTGAACCAGACCTAGGCTGCTGCCCTGAGGCCAAAATAAAGTAATAGCAACCATACGGTCTCACCTATGTCTGACAGACCTACCCATTCTCCTGAAGGACCATGTAAGCTCAGGCTACCAACTCCTACCAATCCATCTCATGAATTTTGAGAAAAATAACCTTGAATCTTCCCAATCTTTATCATCTTCACCTAATCATTGCCTTAATCTTCTACCTGTTTAGGGACCTGGATTTGTGAAATATTCACTATAAAAGAGCTGGGAATACAAGGGATAAGAGACTTGTTCTCAGTCGGATGGACATCCATCTATTTTACCTGTTGGTTGTTGCACACCATCAGAAACATCACCCGTCAACAAAAACTACCACACAAACCAGACCCTGTGTCAAATTCTGTCTCTATAGCACACGGTACAAGGGGAAGAACACTGAGATGTTTCAAAATATCTGTGGATAAAAATAACAATGACCATGCCTAGGGGCTCCCCTGGCCCACTCAACACATGGGTAAAAGTGATATATGTCACAGACAATTCAGTAGGTCTCATCTGTCTCTTACACCAGTCTTTGCCATGTGGCAAAGTGAGCCTAAGGGAGTAAACAGCATAAGAGGCAGGGTCACATATGCATATGTATATGGACATATAAGCAAATAATTACCACACTGAATATAGTAGCAAAATCTAGTAATCGAAGCAAACAGACTGTCTCAGAAAAGAGGGAGTTGTATGCATCTGCCAGGAGGCCCAGAGAATGGTTTCCTCTCAGTCCCTGTAACCTGAATCTAAGGACACAGAGGGCATATGATAAACAGTATAATCCAGGAAGGCCAATGAGTAGAGGAGAAATTCTAACTAGAGAAAAGAGTATGTTTGGATGCACAGAGGAGCAGAAGCAGATGGCGTGTCTGGGGCACCACACCTCTGCTGGTACTTGAGAATGAAGACATTGGTGTGCAGACATCACATTCAGTAACAGTGACTCACTCAAAATTGAGAGAGTTGTCTAACCTTTTCATTCCCCTCGTCTTCATTCAGGAAGCCTTCTCAGCCAGCCTCAAAAGAGGCTCTAAACACTTCTCCTTAGGTCGTAGGTCGTACTCCCAGCCCCAAACAATTGCAAGTCAATTGTCCTTAAAAAGCAGGTTCCAGGCTTAGAAGGCTGTTTTGATGTGTTTTTTGGGTTCCCCCACACCCCGCACTATGTAGCTCAGTCTGGACTCCAGTTCCCAATCCTCCTACTTAGCTTGCCAACAGCTGTCAGTACAGGTGTGTGCCACTGCACAGGTAACGCTGTCTGCAGAATTTGCTTTGTATACCTTCCATACTACTACGTGTACTACGGTATTATACCTGTAGTGCAAAGTCTGCACTACAGGACCATTTGGGAGCCGGGCAAGGACCTGGAGATATAAACACACAGACAGAGACACGGGTCATCCTTGAAACAAGAATGCCCCCTTCATTGTGTACCAGAGCCACTTATATATGGATCCTTAACTGATAGCCACGCCCCAGTCAAACCCACCAGAAACCACTCCCCTGCCATCAGGAACTCCTGAGGGTCTCGTGCTCAGAGCAGCTGCAAACACAGGAAAACAAGTTGTTTTGCTCAGAGCAGTTGCAAGCATTACAAGTTGTTTATAGGAAAGTAAGGGTCTGGGTCCACAGCCCAACAGCTTTGAATGTATTTAGTCTCCTAGTTAGAGCAAATACCATTGTTTGTTTTGTTTTGTTTTGTTTTTTGTTTTTTTACTTACAGTAAGCATATGGAGTTTTTTCCTACACAAATTTGCTAATGGGTGATTTGAATTGCCAGTACAGAAAAATAGGAGTTAATGGGTGATTTGAATTGATAGTACAGAAAAATAGGAGTTAATTATAGACACGGTAATTGCAGTCAGGATTATGACAGTGGCCAAGGTTTTAGAATACTGTCTAGGAGAGAGGTCAGTGGCCCCCTGTTATCAATGGGTTGTTATGGAGGGTACGGCAAAAAGGATAAAGTATAAAAACCCCAACTTAGGCATTCCTGTCTCCCTTCCCCCCCCCCCAGTTGTCCTGAAACTCCCTCTGAAGACCAGGTTGGTCTCAAACTCACAGGGATCCATGTGCTTCTGCCTCCTGAGTGCTGAAATTAAAGGCGTGTGCCACCACTGCCTGACTCCTGTCTGCCTTTTATATTTTTTAGCCAGGTGACTTCTAGGACAATGCTCATACTCTCTGTGTCCCTGTCCTCGTAACTTTCTGTTGCAGGTCTGGTTTACAGGGATGTAAGGAATAGAGACAATAAATGTGGCAGTCATTTAACCATTGATATCATTAGCTTTGTTTGTAAGTTTTCAACATGTTTTCCAAGGTTAACCAGATTGGCCCAGTTTCTCTAATTCTGTTAGGCTGCAGGTCTGCACAGCTGCAATTTGCTTTAGAAAGGAATCAAATATAGCATTTCCCATTAATATATTCAGAAAATTAATAATGTGGCATAATGCTCCCAGCTAGTCCCACACCATCCAGTATAGTTGCCCAAGTCTCATGTCCCCATACTGGGTCCTCATGTTCTTCTGAAGGCACAATTGTGTAGCACTTTCAAAACAAACTTTTCAGAAGTTGGGTATGGTAGTGTACGGGTAAAAAAATCCCAGCACTTGGGCAGTAAAGACAAGGGGCATTCGAGGACAGTCTTGGCCAACCTGGGCTATAATGAGACTCTATTTCAAAATGACAAAAAGTTAGGCCTGGGGCGATGACTCAGTGGGAACTACTCTTGCTGTGTAAGCTGAGGAGCTGAACTCTGATGCCCAGAACCCATGTGAAGGGCTGTGCTCAGCAGCACACACCCATAATGCCAGCACCAGAGACAGGCATCCCGAGGGCTTGCTGGCCATCCAATCTAATCAAAACAGCTCGCTTCAGCTTCAGTAAGATTACCTCAAGAAATAATGAGAATAATAATAATAACAACAATAATAATAATAATGAGGAGAAGGAGGATAAACTAAGAAAAGACATTTTGCACTCAACTCTAGCCTCCTTGTCCATCCCATGATCACTTACACATAGCACACACACATGCATATATGTGCAGACATCACACTCTCTTCATACATGCATAAATACACACAACACACATTAAAATAACTTCCTAAATACATTAACAGTAAGACAAACTTCCGAAAAGAAAAAAAAAGACCCACAGGATTATTTCAACAGCATAGCCACCTCTCTACATACACAATACTCAGGAGGGAGAAATCAATGCACCTCCCCCACCCCAAACAGGGTCAGCCACTCTCCCATCCCCGCTCCCATGGAAGAAACCTGTGACATTGCTACTGGGGTAAGCAAAGACTCTGGGTGCCACCATGTGGTCCTCCAACTTTCCACTTCAAAACCAAGTGCATGCTGGGAGGAAATGGAGAGATGGTTTTGGTTGGCGAGACAACACAGCAGAGTGAGAGATAGACGGGACTGGCCTCGCTCGCTTAGTGCAGAGAACCCAAATCTCTAGCACTTTTTAAAATGATGTAAGCAGGAGCCTGAAAGCAGTTTCCTCACAAACCATGATCTATTCTTTTCCAAATGAGGCTTGAGCTTTCAGGGAAGGGGTCACAGGAGGGTTTTCCTCTACTGTCCTCTGCTTCCATTTCTGGGAATTGTATCAATAACTGGGTCATCTCCCACAGAGAAAGGCAAACACAGTCAAGATGTCGGCAATCTCCTGACTAGTTCTACCATTCTAGGTAAAGTCCAATGCGGCTGGTCATCTTCAGTGTGGTGACAGCCGTGCCCTTTACTTCATATCCCATTGCCGTATTTCAAAATAAACTGCTGGATTTAAATGGACCAGATGTTGCTATTTCTTCTAATAATACAGTACAATTAAAAAAAAGCAGTTTTTAGATATGCAGAATGAAGTCAGTGTAACAAACACACATGTTTTTAAATGAAAATAACGTGATATTTTAAATGGGTTTTTAAAATGCTTACCCACCCACATGCTGTTGGATTTGTTTTGATGGGCTAAAAGGACTGAAAATTATTGTGCTCTGCCCCCTACCCACCACATATAAGAGATTACCTGTTACATTTAAATGATCTCATCAGCCCATTAATGATCTGATTATGGTCATGGAAATGTTTTTCATTTTGCAAATCCTGGTGACATTAACATAATCACAGAAACATGCAGGAAAA